AGCTCAACGTAAACACCGACCAGCTGGGCCGCACCTTCCAGGACCGCTCCCACACCTTCAAGATCAAGCGGCGACCGAGCAGCGGTCCGTGCGCCTCAGCTGGCATCTACAACCTCAACGTGCGCGGCCGGCGGGGGAACATCGTCCAGGTCTACCCCAGCGTCGAGTACGACTTTGTGCCCTCCAACCTCGAGGTGTCCGAGGGCGAGTGCGTTCACTTCCAATGGACTGGGAGCGACGCGAACCAGGGCGGCAACGACGGCAACGGGCGCGACAAGACCGACCGCTCCAACCTCGTCGAAGTTGCGAGCCTCGGTGACAGCCGCCCGGCGAGGCAAGCGTTCGCCAGCGGCGAGCCCGCCGTCGCGTCCATGTTCGTCGAACGGCAAGCGGTGGCCTGGTGGACCCACCGCTCGGACGAGGAGACCGTTCGCCGAATGGCCTACCTCGACCAGGCGGCTGCCCCTCACTCCCTCCCTCCTTCGCCCGGCCACCCAGCCTCCCGCCTCGGCACCCCCCCCCCTCCTCACGCAACTGCCTTCCTCGTCCATTCCTCACCCGGGCCCGTCTCCCGCATGCCCCAGGAGTGGAACTACTCGATGGCGGGCGCCCGCACGCCGTCTCTGATCTGCGACGACGAGACCAACAACGAGAACGACGTGCGCGGCTGCAAGCACATCAACGCGGCGCCCGCCTACTTTGATGGCGGCCTCGTGCAGATGAATCGGCCGGGCACCTTCCACTACATCTCGACGCGCAACAACGACTTCTCCAACCGGAGCCAGAAGGCCACCCTCGTGGTCCGCGGCTGGAGGCTCACGCTCGTCGTCGCCGTCGGGGTCGTCCTCGCGGTGGCGTGCCTCTCGGGCGTCTGCCTGCTCCGGCGGCACGCGCGGCACCATCCAGACGGGCGCCTCGCGCGCTCGCGCCTCGGCGCTCTGCTCGTCAGATGCCCGTCCCTCACCGCCATGGTGCAGCGCTCGCTTGCCTGCCGCTACCCGGCCACCACCGCCCTGCTCTGCCTCTGCGCGGCCCTCTGGGGTGTCGGCTTTCGGCTCGCCCTCGAGCGGACCGGTGCCCCTCCGTCCTACCCGTATGCCAAGGGCTTTGGGATGGCGCTCAACGTGCTTTGCAATCTCGTCTTTGTGCCGGTGATGCGGAATCTCATCTCGTGGCTCCGCACCACCTCCGCGGCAGCCTTTCTCCCGGTCGACGACACCGCCTACTTCCACAAGCTCATCGGTGCGCTCATCCTCTCCGCCGCCGCCGGCCACATCGCCTGCCACTACTCCGCCTACTCGTGGCGCGCGACCTACGGCGCCGGTGGCAGCGTCGCGGGGCAGGCCCTCGGCCGATGGGACGGCTTGTCGGGCCACCTCATCGCGCTCTTCATGCTCCTCATGTCGCTGACTGGCCTGGAGCGCTTTCGCCGAGCGCGCTTCGGGCTGCCGGGCCGTCGTGGCAAGGTTGGCGGGTACTCGATCTTCAGCCACGTGCACAAGCTGTGGGTTCTGGTGCTGGCGCTTCTCTGGTTCCACTCGCGCAGCTTTTGGAAGTTCAGCCTCTTCCCCACGCTCCTGCTCGTCCTCGACAAGTGCATCGCGTTGCGCGC